CCCCAAAACCCCAAAACCCCAAAACCCCAAAACCCCAGATGGAAAAATTGGAATGAAAACAGGCGAAATGCTGATGGATCCTTCTATTATAATATATTTAATAAGCTTTCTCAAACAAAATGCTTAAAAAGAATAAACGTAATTAAGATGAGAGTATGGATTTCGATGAGATCCAGAATCCTAATGACAGCTCCAGAGTGGGTTTAGTCAATCAAACTCACACTTATAGAAGTGGAAATTACAGAGATGATCAATTCGAGAATAACATGAATGGAGGAGGGACAAAGTAACATTTTATATAAATTTAAATTTATAGGTAAATTCGAGGTTCGAATTCGAATGAGCACAATTCAGGAGATCTCTCCTAGATCTAGCCGTAAACTGTTCCAAACAAGATCATAGATAATGGAAGGCCAACAGACAGAGCAAAAGATGAAAAATCTATGTTTGACAGTGATCACTAGAGTTCAAACCGTAACATCCAGTCTATGAAGTCTAGTCACATTATCAGTAACAAGGACATGACTGCATTCGGAAAATAAGACTCAATGAAGTCAGGTTCTAGTAAAGGAAAGGAAAAGGAGCACTTTGTGGTTGGACCAGGTCATTTGAATGAAAACGTTAATAAAAGGAGTGAATCTGCGAACAGAAAATACAGAGCATATAGAAATTTTATTAAGTATCACAACAATAATAATAAAAGCGAGAGATTGGCAGGCTCTAATAAGAAGCTGTCAAACTCAACTATTATGGGAATAGAAAAAAATAAAGAATCCATGTTTGAGGATAAGACATAAGTGTAGGAGGCGGCAGAACTGTCAGTTTCTGATGCTGACGATGATTTCGATGACAGATATATTCACTTAAGTAAGTTTCATCAAATTTTAACGATTTATAGTTGCTGCACATTCAGAGATTAATAAGGCCTGGGGGATTATTTATCCTGATTCTACCTTTAAAGGAGTTTGGGATCTATTATGTCTCACATTCATTATATACTAGTCTATAGTTATTCCATTCAGACTATGTTTCGAAGTTGAGGCTGATGGCGGACTCAAAGTACTAGAGACTATCATGGACTCTTGTTTTATGATGGATATCATTGTTACATTTAACACTGGTTTCTACAAGAAAGGTTACTTAGTCATGAAGAGGAAGGATATTATCCTAAACTATATAAAAACTTGGTTTATACTGGATATGCTTGCTAGTTTTCCTTATTCCTGGGTGATGGATAATGACAAAGATGAAGAAAATGATTCCTCTTCAGGAAAATCAAACAATTCAAAAGTTTCAAAAGCACCTCAGCTTCTCAGACTAATTAGAATTGTAAGATTCTTGAGATTCCTAAGGCTTTTAAGAGTATTAAAACTAAAAAAGCTGTTATATAAGTTTGAAGAGATTATCATGTCAGATACCATAAATGCTATTCTAGGTTTCTTCAAGGTTATAACAGTTATCCTATTCATTGCTCATTGGATTGCCTGTATCTTTTACTAGATTGGGGTTTCCTAACTAGATTCTGAACCTATTTGCTGGCTTACTATGGCAAATATACAAGATGCACCAATTTTCGATAAGTATATAATCTCGCTATATTGGGCATTCACTACTATGACTACTGTGGGCTATGGTGATGTCTCTCCGTACACGATGGGAGAAAAGATTTATGCTATGTTTAGCATGCTTATAGCTTGCGGTGTGTTTGCTTACGTCGTGGGATCTATTGAAACAATTGCAAGAAGGTCAAATACTATGGCTGCTATTTTTAAAGAAAAGATTTTACATGTGAATTAATTCTTGATGCATAAGCAGATTCCCAAATATCTCAGGCTCAAAGTAAGAAGATACTTGGAATATATGTTTGAGTATAAAAAGCAATATAAGCTCTCTGAAATCGAAGTTCTTAATATGCTGAATGAAAATCTTAAAGATTAGGTAATTGTTCACCTTAACGGAAGAATGCTTAAGAAAACTAGAATATTCTCAATTTTTGATTAGAGATTTTTAGCAGAGGTCACGTTCTTGCTAAGCAACGAGACATTTAGTATGGATGACCATATTTTTGAAGAGGAGGAATAAGGTGCTAAGATGTTTTTCATAACTAAGGGAACTGTTGTGATCATGTAGAAGAAGAGTCACACCTATATCAAGGAATTGCAAGTAGATGAGTATTTCGGAGAGATCAGTTTCTTCTCGCAACTCAATCGTCATGCAACAGCTAGATCAAGAGGTTTCACAGAAGTACTTTCTCTGAACAAGGAGGAGTTTATGACCACTGCAACAACTCAATACTCTGAAGCTCTAAAAACTTACTAAGATATTCATGATAAACTAACACATGAAAAAGACTACAGTTGTATCTATGTGCATTGCTATCTATGCACTAAATTAGGTCATATTGCAACCAATTGTGAGAGCTAATTTGGAGATATTGAGGGCAATCTCAAGAAGTAAATCTTTAAGATGAAATAGAAACTCATGAAGATGCAAAAGGCCTAGCAATAAGAATAAATGAAAATGCTTAAGGAAAACGAAGAGAAAACAAAGGTAGCATCACAGTAGAAATCAGGAGTTGAAAATGCGGAACCTCACGAGGATTCAGAAGAGATAAAAACTGAGACTCACCTTACTTCTAATTAGTACTCGAGTGACGAGAGCGAAGATAGTATTGAGAAAAAGGATGAGTCTAGAAGAAACTCTAATTAATCTAATGCCAATATGAATATTGGTGAGGGTGTTAGTCCTGGAGTGAAATCTAATAACAAATTTGCCATTGGCAATCTAGGTCCTAACAAAATTTCAGCTCCTCTTGGTTAAAGATTGCTAAATGTAAATGTAGGGGCTCACTCAATAGAAACTGCTGAAAAATTCAAACTTAAGGACTAAGAACTATTCAAATAAAATTTTGGAGAAAATATGAGCGCCCAAAAATCTGGCTCATCCGTTAATAACGTAATTGAGAATCAAAATTAAGATTTGGAATAGATTAATAACAGCATTAAATAGATCGAACTAGAGTAAGATATTCCATAGGCATCTGAGCCACCAAAGGCAGATGTAGAGATGACTAAAAAGATCAAAAGTACTCATGCAAAACTACTTGGCCTTGAATAGAGCAGTATGTCTATTAGACAGATGTCTGGAATTTCCAACTAGTAAACATCTCAATAGAAATTAGACCAGTTTATGCAGAAAATGCCCTCAAACAATACAGCTTTAGGCATAAATTCAGAGACTCTTAAGAATCAAAGCAGCAACACTTAGTCTAATCAGCCAAAGTCCATCCTTAAAAATAGGAATGCTTAAAACCTTCCATAAGTTGAGTCAGTTTATAGAAACAACTCTAAGGCTAGTTCTAAGGAGTATGAAAGCTCTCTTGACTCAATGAGTTCTAAAAATATCAACTCTATTACGAAGCAATAAAGCTTAGTGGAAGCCAAAATCAAAAAAGGTAAATCAGGTGGGGATGTAGAAGATCCAAGATTTAAGCACATAAAAGATGCTTAGAAAGATCCAAGCAAGCTCTTTCCATAGACTACTACTCATCTAATGAAGCCACTTAGCAAATTGTCAGGCTAGAACATTAACAAAGTTGACTTAACTAGATAAGGATCAAGCAAATTTAAGAGTGGGGAGTAATATGTAGAGCAAATGATGAAGAATTTTTCGCCTTTCAAAATGAATATTGAACTAGAGAGAGGATCCAGTGCTGGGGTTCAAAGTTTCCTTCCCTCTTATCACGAGCATCAGTAAAACCTTATCAGAGGAAATAGCAAGAAGAAGATTTCCGATGCTCAAGAGGATGAAGAGGTTGATAAAAAGAAGTTCTACAAGAGGAGCGGAACCATGCTCCTAGGTAACATCAAAGAGCCAACATCAGCTAATAGATCAGCTTTACCTGGGCAGGTACCTAAAGATCTAGGTCTCGGGCTACTGAAAGACATGATTGATTTCGATGAAAATGAAGAATTTATGGACTATAATTCTAGTCAGAGGGAGAAATCAAAGAAAAGTGCCAACAAGAACTTCCAAAAGAAAAAGACCTTAAGATGAAATTTGAATCAATCTAATTGAAATTGATTGATGACTGAAAGCTTATCAATCAATTCAAAAATAATTTTACTTGATCTTTATTAATATTTAAATTTCGAATAGTCTTAAAAATACTTCATGATGGGGTTTTGGGGTTTTGGGGTTTTGGGGTTTTGGGG